CTCTGAGACCAAGTTTAGAATTACATGCAAGTTAGCCGCTTTGAGTTATCTGGATAAAAGGCAGAATATAAATAACAGAAACGTTAAAAATATTCATTAGGCGTTGTGGCCTTGCTTTATGTCCTCCAGACTCCTGAGCTATGAATATCCATGATCTAGGGCAGGGGAAGATCTGCCATACCTGAGAAAATAATGGACTCAATTGTAACATGAAAGGCTTGATGTTCTGTAACAGTCTTTGATCTTTAAATTGATGTTATGATAATTCTGGTCTTGTGTACACAACCTTATGCCTTGGGACAACCTTGCTGAACTTGCTTCAGCCACTGGCATTTTCATATGCTTAGGGAGTAAATCCACCACTGGAGGAAAGATTAGTCATCATTTCCTGGGGAACTCAGGGACTTAGAGTGCATCTTTATCATGTCTTGAGGTAAATGTAGTAGAGGTACTTGAGTGCAGTTGAGAGTTCCATATGTTGCAACAGTGATCTGTAAATAATCCAAGAGAGCCACTAAAGGATGTAGACGAAGCACCCTGAAATTCCTGTGGACTGGGTGCATTACCTCCTTATAACAGCTGTGTCAACAAGGGCTTCCCTGAACAGGTATTTTCCTTTGGCTTGTATGGCAGGGTTAGCCAAAAGTTGCAAAAAAGATTTTTAAGTGAAATTAAAATATGAATCAATTTATTGAAGACATTTTTAAAACAAAGTACTGGACACTTGGTGCAAGAATTCAGCAAGAGCTGGTTCATTCTGTCTGTATTTGTCTTCTGTACTCAGAAGAGCAGAATTTGGCCAAGCCTTAACAGTCTGTAAATATTCATCCCCTGCCCTCCCGTTCTTTTGCTTGTTCATATAATTCTATTTTGAAATGACAGGCTTGTTGTCAATGTTGGTACCTTGTATTTAGTTTTTCCCTTCCAAAAAAGTAATCAGCCACATAATTTTTTATTAGGTCTCCCTTTCTGAGTCCTAACCTGGTGACGGTTTCCTGATAATTAAAAGGCTTCAATCTTTTTGGATCCAGCCTTGCTCAGATAGGGTTTCTAGGTTCTTCTGTTGATGAGCAGCTGTTAATAAACTCCTTCAAAATGTTCTGTTCATGTACAGAGTTCACAGCATATTCATTACATCAATGTTTATCTCACAGTTGTTACCTTAATAGCAAAATGGATCATTTTCTAAAATGCTTGTATTTAAAAATGTATCCACCAAACGTGTACATCTGTATCTGTTTCAGAGTATTCTTTGCAACAAAGGCAGTTTCCTAAAGTGTGTATACATTGGGTCTTGTAATCTGAAAATGTTCTTTAAAAGGCCCATTGAATACTGCAGACTAAATTGCCTGACAATTTTCTTCTGCTAGCTCCATATTTCCCCACTTTTTCATATATGCCGTCTTTGTTTCTAGTGTTTCTTGGGGGAAAGTGTTATTTAATCGTGATGCTGTTCCTTTATCCATGTTGTTAGTATTCTGTAGCTTGCTTTCAAAGTCTTTTGATGATCTGAAGACGTGTAATCGTCATGTCATTTTCTTCATTGTTTCCTGTATCCAGCATGACACTTGGACATTCCCTGCTAGTTTTTGTTGTTTATCAAGTGCAAGTAGCTGGTTTTGTGTTGATTCATAAGACATTCAAGATTTATTTAGCTGTTTATGTGTTGGTTCAGGCAGGAAGGGTTAAAAAGACTTGTAACATCTGTGAGTCTTTGTTCAAATGCTGGAGATTGAAATCCCCATACATGAAGCGGGGGGGGGGTGTCAGGACATGCATTTGTTCCACAGACATCTGTGGGGGAGATGTTGGAGGTAAACCTATATTAAGTTTAGCTTAGTATTCTATTTTCCTGTTTTTTATTAGATCTGTAACCAGTAGGCGTGATAGCATTTTCCCTGCCTTGTGCTGTAGTGTAACCTACAGCAGTAAAGTCTTTTCCTGTTTAAGAGAGCAGGCTTTGATTCAGTTCCTCCCTGTGCAACTTAGAGCAGTTGCTCACGCTTAAACATTCATGCACAGGAGGAGAGCTGGAGTAACTCTGCCCTTTGTACTTGTTCAGAGGCAGCCTTTACCAGTGTCTCCCAGTCATCGGTAACGTGACTTAGGGTGGTGGCACAATGAAGAAGATGTTTCACATGCACATGGACATGCCAGTAAGCACACACAGACCCAGGGTGGCTTTAGGACAGCAGGTACTGCCCATGGTCCCTCCCCCCAGCATTTCCTTCCACCCTGAGGAAGTGGGTTCCTAGGGTTTCAGGACCCAAGTGGATGTAATAACGGTGTAGGTAGGGAGATGAAGCCACTCTTCCTGCCTCTTCTGTCAATGCGGCCATGAGATGGAAGGGGGAAATTTTGTCCCCTTCCTCCTCCCCTCTGCAGCCCCACTCCCCCCCAAAAAAACCTGCATGGGTAACAGGGTTCAACTTTCTCAAGGTCAGAGGGGACTGCTGGGGTTAAGAGAACATGGGAAATAATCCTGATCTCTGTATTCATGGATTGTGGGATCCAACCCAATGTCTCCTCTCCTGTCTGTGTTATGTTTAATGTCTGTTCTAAAAATAATTCCCTCTCAAAGAAGTTCCAAAGATATCTTGGTCATGAGAGATTTCTAACCATAGGTTGGCTTGTGCACAGCATTGATCTGTTCACAAAATGAGTGTGTTTGTGTGTGACTGAAGTCACCTTGTTCTGGGACAAAGTTGTATGAAGCAGCTGCCCTTCGTGTTAGCACGAAGAGTTTTATTTTCCGCAGACTAGGCAAGAGGACCGACTGTCTTTACTATGAAGCAGCTGCCCTTCGTGTTAGCACTAAGAGTTTTATTTTCAGCAGACTAGGCAAGAGGACCTTTGCAGTCACACTTGAAGTTAATTGCTTCCGTTATCATGTAATGAATTTTGGTTTTGTGGATGTTAGAATTGGCCTAAACTTGTGACCAGTTGGGAAGCACTGAAGCACTCTGGTGATGTTCACATTACCAAGCCTTCATTTCAAACATAGTCATCCTTACTTAGAAGCAGTAACAGAAGCTATATCTGGGATTCTTCCACTACTTAAACAAGAAGGCATTTCTGTCTATAAACTAACAAACATAAATTAAAAGACAGACTGCCTCGGGAGGTGGTGGATGCTCCTTCGCTGGACATTTTCAAGCGGAGGCTGGACAACCATCTTTCGGGTATGTTGTAGGGCTATCTTTCGGCTATGCTCCTCCAGAGTTAAGGGGGTCGGACTAGATGACCTGCAAGATCCCTTCCAACTCTGTGATTCTATGATTCTATATTTCATAGATAAGTTTGTTTTTTCTCATTTTTTAAAAAATGTGTGTTTCTCTTACTGATAGGCCTAATGGGAGCCGAGATCTGGAAGGTATCACCTTCAGAGTGCAGGGGGTTGGACTAGATGACCTGCAAGGTCCCTTCCAACTCTAACATTCTGTGTTTCTATGACTTCTCTTTTTCTAATCCATGACTAGCAGTTAGGTCATTGAGTACTTCTCTGCGTCATTAATGGGCCAGAGGAGGACAAATGAACTGAAACCAGATGAATGAGCCACTTTGCACATTTGTGGGTCTTTCTTCACAGCTGGCAGTGTTTTCAGCACTAGTGCAGATATCTGACAAAGAAGTTCCACATTAGCACTACTTACCCATTTATTTACTAAATCATTTGATAGAACCAGAAAACAGTCTGCTTGATACTGCAAAATCCCTAGTCCGAACTGTGACTGCTCTAGCATGGAGAGTAGGTGACCTTCTTTTGAAGTCTAACTTTTATTTCTGTGAAGGCTGTAATCTTAGCCAGATATGCTCCAGTGAGTCATGGAGAAGAGCTGACCAGGGTGCTAACATTTAATTCTATCTGTGTTGCAGTATTTGTCTGGATTAAATATACCTGGCCAACGACATAAAACGTCACCTCAAAGCATTCTTTGCTTGGTCAAGAGCTAACAGAGCCATACTTGACTTGCTGTTACTTTGAATCTCCTGTTCCCTGTAAACTGGACTCTTGAAGACCTCTGTATGGAGTAATTTTGACAACATATTACATGAGGACTAGAAAAGGTATAAAGATAACAAGTTGTGTCAGAGACAACCCAAGGAGATACTGAAACTGGGATTCATTAGCTTAATTCTGTAATAAAGAAACAAGTGAGCAGCTAGATGTGAGAGAGGTTGAAAGAAGGGGATACTTTCTTGTCTAGTGCCTTAAATACTGGGATCTGTGAGGAAGTAGTATTTGAGCTGATAAGACCTATATCAGACTTCTCATCAAAAGAAGTACCTGATCTTTTGGAGTAGAAAAGGCCACAGGGTTACCATTGCAATTAATCTCATCAGGTATAGGAGAGGTGGGATGGTGAACAGTAAGCTCAAAGAATACATCCACAACCTACGGGATCTGTGTACCACCTTTGTAGGATAATCCCTTCAGCCACTGTCTGGGAGGTAACCTTTGGAACCCATCTTTTCCACATATGTTGGCAATACCTGTATACTTTCTAATGCTGATGCAAGATCTCTTAATAGAATTACAACTGCATTAAAATAGCATTAATACTTGAATCTGAATTTCAGGGGGAAATTGTGTTGATTGTATGAACTGTGACAAGACTTCATGGCTGAAAACTGAGCAAGTAGTCTTCAGGGATGCTTAATACAATGAAAGTGAAGGCTGAAGAAGACTGATCTGGTTGAATAGAAATGTTACAGTGTGGTTTAGTGTGCTTTTCTAGAAATTTGCTGATTAGTTAATCTCAGCTGGTTAATCTGACAGTGACCTGCATGTGAGAACTTTAGAGTAGGCCACCTTAATTATTCCTCCTTAGTATTTTATAGAAGATACTATATTAACATTTTCTCTCTGAAATTCCAGAGAAGCTGCACTCAGTTGGTAAAGAATTAGACACTTGAGATCTGAATGGCCTCAGTTGTTTACCTTCATCATCAGACCTTGTTTGTTGTAACTCTTTTTTTATTGTGCTTTCTGCTTGCAGGCAGGCAGAAGTCCTGAAGGCTGACATGACAGGTAATGAGCTTTATCTTTTATTGTAAAACAGCCAAAAACTTAGGTAGCCCGCTTCTCCGTAAATGATATTGCAATGCACAAACTTGTTCATCAAGTCCTACTTTTCCACTGGCATGTACCATCCGCTTCCAGTTGAGCCGCGTTCAATACTCAGAACCCCCACCTCCTCTTCTGAACCTAAAAACAAATGCAGGAAAGCTCTAGCTTCACAGAACTACGTCCAAGAGACCTCTGAGCCAGGACAATAGCTTTGCTGCAGAGTACTGGTACCTTTGTATTGGCACCTTTGCTTTTTTAAAAAACACATTTTTATTCTGCCCCTTTCCCAAGCCGGGCTCCCATCGTTCTCTCCCGTCTTCTGTTTTATCCTCGCCACAACCTTGTAAGATTTGTTAGACTGAGAGGTAGTGACTGGCCTTGGGTTACCCAGTGATCTACCTCACAGGGTTGTTGAAAGGAAAAATGGAAGAGGAGAGAACAATGTACACCATCCTGAGCCACCTTGGAGTGGCTAATTAAACAAAGTTATCCAGTGAGCTTCATGGCTGAGTGGGGCCATGAACTTGGTATTTGACGTCCTAGCCCAGGTCTCAAGCCAGTAGACCACACTGGTTCTACACTTGCACCTCCTTCAACTGGAGAGGCTCAAAGCAGAAATCTCTCCTTATCGGGCAACAGGCTGCTTTCACTGATGTAATAAAGTGGGTGTTTGTATCATGGCGATTCCTGTCTCAATTAAGGGAGCAGGGAAAATTCAGTTGTACTGATGCCATCATAAATCCTTACTGTGTTTGTTTGTCAGATTCGAAGCTGGGTCCAGCTGAAGTCTGGACTTCCAGGCAAGCTTTGCAGGACTTATACCAGAAAATGCTAGTTACAGATTTGGAATATGCTTTGGACAAAAAAGTAGAACAAGATCTGTAAGTATTTTTGTTTAGACATGTCTATGTCATGCAAAGGAGCCTGAATTGTACTGATTCTGTCCCAAACTGATAAGCTGTCTATTACCTGTCTTTCCACATAGGCACTTTTAAAAGTCTAACTGATCTTAGTGTGTTTTTTCTCCCCAGGCAGCTTTCTTGGTTTGGCTAAAATGTGCGAATGTGTGATACTAACTTTCGTTGATTTTCTCTTCCTCATCTTTGTATTTTAAGTAGCTGTCAGTGAGTGTAGCACATGTCCAAGATATGTGCAAAATGAAACTGTGTAACTAACAGAAATTTTCGTGATGAAACTTCTTTATTGTGTGGGAGGTGAAGGCTGGAAAAGAGTAAGCCTCTGCATCAAAGTTGTTAAATAACAGAATTTCCAGTGAGATTCTAGCCAGGGTTCCCTATGACAGTGACAGTCCCTTGTCTATGGGTGTGCTTACTGAGTTTGTCAGTTCTTTTTTTAAACAGTACTGTGACACTACATTTCAGGCTGATACCTCCTCAGTTTCTTCCTCATTGATCTTTCTTAAAGGCTATTGGTCAGCTGTCCAAGATCGGCACATGCCAACTGAAAGTGAGATACCTTTTTGCAAAGGCTGAGGTGCCTTGTAACCTAATCAAAATCTAAAGCTAGATAGTGAGATCTAGGTCTTGCTGACAGACCTAAAAACCTTAAAAAGTACCTGACTTTTGAGACTTAAAGCATCTTTAATTTTTGTGGGTTTTTTTTTAAGTGGTCCTTTAGAACTAAAACATCATTTAGGACATTCTGGCTAGGGCCATGGCATCTGTTTGGCATTTGGGCACCAGTTTTAACTCCCCTCCCAAGATCTCCAGTGAAAAAGACCAGTCAATAGATAATGAGACAGACCTCTGCGTTAGACCCCAGAAAGCTGTTACCAGTCAAAACAGGCAATACTGACCTTGGTAGATCAGTGGTTGGACTTGATATAAGGCGGCTTCATGTGTGCATGATTGTGTAATACAAGAAGTGCTGGTTGACTATTACTTTGTTACTGGATACTATCTGTGATGCAGGATTTCTCTGTTAATGGATTTCAGCCAGGTGCTGATTCCTATGTTGAATGGGATGGTAGTGATGAAGAGAAGGAGGATAGGCGTGTATACTTCCAACACTTCCCCCTTGTTGGGATCAGTTGGCTCTAGGGCATCCAGTATCAATGGTTCAGGGCATATTGTACTTTGTTGTCTAACTGTGTTATTTGTGGGAAAGTTGAAGGCTGTGTTTGTAGATGCCGATGAGGTGTGAGCTAAACCTTTGGAGCCTGGGGCAGGTTTTCGTGCTCTCATATGCATCCTAGATTGCATCTCCTTCTGTTCCTTAGAATTCAGCTACTCATAATTGGCCTGCTCTTGTTGACCCGGCCTATTTTGGGCTCCATGTCTCAGAGTGTTGGTCAGCAACTAGTTTTGCTGGAGGGGTCATTTTACAAGTATACGAGATGGTGAGTTCAAAAGGCTTTGACCTGTCACCAAAATCTGCTGCCAAATCCTGTTGTCATTCATTTTTTGTTTGTTAAATGGGGGGGGGGGGGATTTAGTCCAGGGACCGCCAATTGATGGCCGCCAGAAGTAGCATGAACCATTATCTAAGGAACTCTCTCTTATTTTTATACTTCGTAGAATGAGTGATCAGATTTCCTCAGTGGATGCTCTGATACCTCTGTTCGATGCAGGCTAATGAGACCCATCATACCACAGAGTCTGGTATTTGGAATTTTAAAAAGAGTAAGAAAACAGTAGTAAGAATCCCTGCTTTCCATTTCAAAGGACAAAACTTGTGCCAGACTTAGAAAACCCAAATGCCGATATGCTGAATATCTTTATCTCTAATAAGTATTTTCACCACAGTTTTGTGAGAGAGAAGGGAACAAAACACTCTTTGTTTTTATTGCTCTTTGTTTGTGTACATTTTAAGGCTGTACATCAGACCATAATAATATCTTTACTCTTGAGGTGCTTTATTAAAACAGCACTTTTGCCTCACTGTTCTTATAGGGGCTGGTGTCATTCAGTGAGTCATTATTGTGTCACATAAAAGAGTGAAGCTTCCCTTTCTTTCCTCAGGTGGAATCATGCCTTTAAGAATCAGATCACAACTCTACAGGGTCAAGCAAAAAACCGAGCAAATCCAAATCGGAGTGAAGTCCAGGCAAACCTCTCTCTGTTCCTGGAGGCAGCTAGTGGCTTCTATACACAGGTGAGTCCACTGGGGCTTAGTAACTACATTCCTGTCTTTGTAGCAGTGGAGAATCCTTAAAGGGACCGGGAAAATTTCTCCTGAAGAGGCAGGATTTCATGTATTTAGGCTACAGGGCTTTGCGCTGCACAGTCCCTAGATCAGTTTCTGTCTCATTTGCTCCTGACCTGCAAGCTTTTGCCCATTTTGGGATTTTTGGTTTAAAAATAGTAAACACCTCAAATTTTGAAATCTCTCTAAATTGTAACCACCAAATAATGGTCATGATTCAGTGCAAAAATTAGGATTTTAATGTATCGTTCCTGGCCGCTGTGTAAAAGAAGTTTCTAAAATATTCTGCTCTGAAGTTTGAAAGTATAGCTGCCTTTTCTTAGTAGTTGACAAGCTGGGAGGTCTGCAAGGAATCGCAGTACAGGGAAACTACTTGGAAATCCCACTCCCAATCTCCCTTTTCAGGATTTAAGACAGATCCCCCAACCTTTTCCCTTCTAATTATCTGTCATGTGCTCTCAGCATCCATTTTCCTGGGGCATATTCCTTCCTGATCTTGCTGGGGTTTTCTTTTTATTTTTTTCTGCATGGCTGGAGAATTCCCTGAGTAGGCAGAGATCTCCACCTGGTTGGTACATGGCCCCATTTTACTGTTTTGTGGTTGACTAGCATGGTGGCCTGCCACTTCCCTGTTATTGCTGTGTTTTGGGAACAGTCTTACAATTCCATAACTTTGTAGTAGGTATGGGGGAAAAAAGATGGACCATTTTCAGATAAACGAATTCTAAAAGCAATAGGTTTTCTTCTACTTCGTTTTATGCAACTCTGTTGCATTTGTTTGCAGTAAATTCTCTTTTGTCAGGATATTAGGTCCTTTATGAAACTGCCTTATTATGAGCCGATCCAAGCTCAATACAATCTACTTTGTAGTGTCTTGGGAAATCTCTCCTAACTTTGTCACGCGAGATACCAGGGATTGAATCCTGGGAACTTCTGGATGCAAAGCATGTATTCTACAACTGAGCAAATGCCTCTCCCCTAACATTAGCTGTGGAGAAGGGAAATGATTGTAGCATGAACAAACATGTTCTCTGTGATCGTTAAGTTTCCATGAGCTCTTAATCTCTTGCAAGAGTTTTTTGTTCAAGGAGATGGTGATGGGAGAATAATAGATGACAGAGGTTGCTCAAGGCCTGGTTCTCTGTAGGAGGCCTGATGAAATAACCATGTCTGTCTGATTCGACTACTAAACTTGGTTGTTTCTCATTCCAGCTACTGCAGGAGCTGTGCACAGTGTTTAATGTAGATTTGCCCTGTCGTGTGAAGTCCTCTCAACTGGGGATTATCAGCAATAAACAGACGCACACCAGCGCCATTGTGAAGCCACAATCTAGCTCCTGCTCATATATTTGCCAGCACTGCCTTGTCCATCTTGGAGACATTGGTGAGTCATAAGGAACAGGGAAGCTGCAATGTTCTGTGCAGTATTACCTGTGACAATGAATAAGATGTGGTAATAGGGAAAGGAACTGTGGTGGTCTGTGAGAGTAGAAGTGGACCACATAAGGAAAGCGTTGTTGATCTCGACAATCAGGGAAAAAACCTTCTAGTTCTTGAGCAGGGGCTGGTCTCACTGTTGGACAGAGTGAAATTGGTCGCTTCAAGGTCAGCTTCTGAGATATCGAAGGCTGTCTAATTGTCAAATGTTTACTTTGCCACTCTGATCGGAACTGACTTCGTGCCCGGGGTACCAAAATGTCCTGAGCAGTCTCCATGGAGTGAGCAAGGTACAAGCAGTTTAACAATACTGCACACTTGTTTCTTTACCATTTTTTCCTGTCCCTCAAGTGACTGTTGCAGAAAGCCTTTTTGTATGTGTAGAGTTGTGCAGTTCCTTTCAGCATGCTTGTGCAGAAAGGATTGAAGTTTGACCTGATGGGCTTTTGGAGACAGGGAAAAGTGTAGTTCATGTGGAGAGCTTTAACAGCAGTGTAGAACTCTAATCTGAAGAGGCAAAGAAAATGATGACAAAGAATTGCCTTGCTGGTACAGACCAAGGTCTACTAGTCTGGTGTTATGTTCCTAAGAACAACCAGCCAAGTGAGATGGAAACTCACTGTGGGTCAGTGGCTTGTATCCTGCCACTAAGTGCAGACTTCCAGGTGGATAGCTGTGGTGGTAGAAGAGCAAGATTTGAGTCCAGCAGCACCTTAGTGGCCAACATGATTTTCCAGGGTACAGGCTTCTCTGACAAAGGGGTCTTGGACTCGAGAAAGCTTATACCTTGGAAGCCTTTAAGGTGCTACTGGACTCAGATCTTGAGTGACGATTGGAGTCTTCCTGTAATGGGAAAGAATCCTTGGACTGGGAGGATGGCTTTTTTAAACCTGTCTGAGCAGAGTGGTTAGGTTGCAAGGTAAGCTAAGATCATGATGGCCATCCTTGGTCCCTCCCCCCATTTGGTAGTCACTCTCTTGGTACAAGGAAGTTTAATTCAGTTACTATGATTGTGGTTGGGTATGGCTTCTGTCTTGAGTTTTGTATGCTGACTTTATGAAGCTCAAATCGGATAGACCGATATTCTGTCATTCATAAACCCTGCTGTCATTTTAGAGGTGGGGATGTGCTCGTGGGTATGTCCTGGCGTATTGCTTAACCCGACAACACTCCATAATGTGTTCCTTCTTGGTTTGTTTGTTTTTCTAGCTCGTTACAGAAATCAGACCAGTCAGGCTGAGTCCTACTATAGGCATGCAGCTCAGCTTGTTCCCTCCAATGGTGAGTTTGTGAAATGTAATCCATGTGGGCTGAGTTGCCAGTTTTGAGCGGGTGCTTTTTAAGCACATGCTTCTCTGTCCTTTTTCAGATGCAAACATATAGCAAAGGGGGTTAAATCCCGATGCCATCTTCTCTGTATAGCTATCCTCAATTAATACCCTGCAGTGCCTGGAAACAATTACTGTAGCAGGCACCTACAAGATGCTTGTTAAAGATTCCGTGTGAATGTATTTATCATTATACTATTCAACTCTGGTTTGTCGAACATAGTGATGTAACTTTATTTCCCTAAAGAAGACTGTGGTAAATGGGCCAGTGTGTTACTCTGGGTAAATGTTATATTTAAACCATTTTTTTCTATTAATGCCTACACTGAGTTTCAGTTGAAAAGGTTCCCTAGGATGGTTTTATTTTTAAAAAATTCCTATTAGAACCGTCTGTGTATTTTATTTTCTCTTTTAGAAAAAAAAAAGCCCCTTCCTGTCAGCAAGCTGCCATTCTGTTTCTGTGACCTCTGTGTACATATCCTTTCCCTGTTGCACCCGGCTTGGTTTCTATCATCCTGCTCCTGCGTTGGAATGCAAAAGATAACTGCTGGAGGTTGTGTGGGGGAGAAGATGCTGTAATGCTTGCC